AACAGAGCCGTAATATTAAAATATAAGCATAAGATGAACCTCCAACGATTTCCCCTCAACTCCACAGCCTCACACAAAAGGCTACAAACGTCTTTGTGAACAGGCACAAAGAACATCGCCACAAGCTTCACAATCGTACAAAATCTACTTTTTGATATTTCAAATGTTACCTGACGCAAGTGACGCAACTCTTAATTCCCAAAAGAAAGTAAATATTGAATGTTTATTGAGCAGAAATAAATCGCCATTGACGGAAGATCCCTTGGGAGACGAGATGAACTAAGTATTATTTGAATCGACATCAAATAAATGGAAGTTAGGAGCGAAGTAGCAATGAACCTGTTTCATTCATTTTATGGTTAGAAGCGTGGCTTTTTGAGTTTTGTTCAGATGTATAGTTTTCGTTTTCAGTAAAGGATGGTTGACTGTTCAATTTTGAAAACTGATATTGCATTTACACTCAATACTTTTGTGATAGCGTCTATGTGGTTCCAAGTTTCATAACTAAGCAAGGCAACAAACAAGTGTACGGCGGGCTGATGCCGATACGGAGCCGCGGAGGATTTAACGGGTTGCCGGGGCTCCAGCTCGAAGATCAGGAGTAGGAACGGGGTGGTTTTTATTCAGTAAGAATTCTAACATCCCTTTCGTCCAATCCGTTTCGTCTCGCCCAGGCTGGAGAAGTCATTCGATGGTTTTCCCCCCTTAAAATAAAGGTCAACAAAGAAATCAATATCTATTTGACTGGAAACTATTACTTAACCCAAATAGCTTTTTCGGCTCCCTAATCCCAGAACCAGTATTCGCAACAATTCCTTTCCCCAGTTTTCTTTAGCCCTCGCTACTTCAAGGAAAAGAGCGCGTCTAAACTTAATGACAACACATTTCCCGCCATATTTGTTTCGCGCTAAAAGAAAATGGCGGCCAGTAGATACAAATGAGCGCCATTGTGGCAGTCGACCCGCGCCTCGCTTGAACCAACTGACTTATTTATTACCTTCGCACTTTACAAAATGTAGAACGTAAGACATTATGAAAAGAATAAAGACAATATTTATTTTTCAACTTTTTAGTCTTTCCTCTCCTTTTCTTATTTATCTTGTGTGTTGGCAGCTGCTGCGTGGAAAATACTAAGGAGTTATTTTGTACCAAAGTAAAAATTCACTATATCAGAATTATTTTTTCGCTCATTGTTTTTAATAAAGCTACACAGACTACACACACATTATAAATTACTCAACTCACACATTGTAACTACTTGGATATGCATACGAATTATATATTTTAGTAACTGCTTTGACTTTAACCTACCACGCGAACTATTCCGTAAAGATGTTGACAGAAGTGTGTAATACACCAATTATAATTTTACATTGTTTCTCTGAAATTATTGCATTGTATTCAATCGAAAATCGACCTACAAGAACCGCGGTTGCACTCACACTAACCAAAATTAAAAGGGATCAGAAATAGAGTTTAAAACTCCAGCTAACTAAAATGAGTACAAAAGAAGAGGTCAGTAATACCTAGGTACTAAGCAAGGTCACATCGATGCCGATAAACTTGAAAAGGTTCAACCCAGCCACCAAAATAAAGCGATTCAATCTAACTTTATGTTCACAAGTACCTATAGACCTATACTTTCAACGGACGGCCTGACCAACTCTGGATAAATTATCTGGAAGAACTCCAATAACTTGCAGTTTTTAAATCATCACGCTTGGTATTTGATGGAGAAAACAGTCGTATCGATATTGGTATTTATTAGATTCACTTGGATTAGGAAGCTGAACTGGCAGGCTAGAAGTTATCAGTCACATTTAACATAAAATGACTACTATTGGGGTAGTTGTTCTGGAGTGCAGACCACACTAAGCAATAGCGTAGCTCCAGGGTGACAAGTCAGCAAAATACCACGGGGCCCCAGCTGGAGGGGATCCCGTTCTCGACTCTCTCTTTCTCTCTTTATACTTATTAGGCCCCCGAAATTGACAGCAAGACCGCTGAAAGCGTTGTACATATATTAATTAGAATGGCTTTTAGTAGAATGACGATATCCACAAAATAGCTGACAGTGTTTGGACGGAAAGAGATCAAGACAGAACTCAGTAGCGAATTACCGTATGATTGGAGACGCCTATGTTTAATACCGCTGATAATAGAATTATTCAGCCTTTATATGTTCAAACGTATAGGGATTTATGATGATTAATTTAATGGCATGTCATTGATTCTAAATAACAGGTAATTCATCGACTGATGGTTAGAATACCTCTCATATTTTTTGGTTCGAAACCTGGCACGTACCAATTTGACATTTTCTGAGCTATAAGCTTTCTAAGATTACTTAGATACCACTTTCATACGGTGAAGGAAAACATCGGGAATAAACCTGGACTTATAACTTCTAATTATAAGTGTGAAATCGCTAATCCGTCTTGAGCGACTGTGGTGATTAAAGCTCATTCATTCCTTTCACGTATGAGGTGATGCCTTTATAGGGTTGACTAGGGTGATGATGTGATGTATGATATTGACTGTGTCCTCATATTCCACAGTCACGTTTGTAACCGCTCCTCAGAGACTCAATATCACAGAACATATTATGAAACCGTGCCCTTGACAAGGTTAAAAGTATTCCAATAAGGTTACACCCAGATACCTACATCAAGAAGTATATTTATGCGTAACACGGGAGTCAACCCCCACACAATATTAAGGCTCGGCTGATAATATCCTCGGGAACATTACAGGTACCGACATTCATATCTTTAGCTAAGATGGCTGACGTAAATAGCTGAGGAGGTACGCAATATAAGATCATGCTTATATTCTTCAAAGAAGCGAATAGATATACTGGAATAATGTAAGAAAGTAATTGTAGTTTTTTGGATCATCATGAACATCAACGTATGCCATAAATGGCCTCTGCTGAACAAAGGCCTCTTCTCAGACGGAGAATGTTTGAGCATTAATCACCACGATTGCTCAATGCGGGTTCAAACATAATCAGAAATTATAAGTCCAGTTTTTCTCACGACGTTTTCCTTTACCGTTTGTCAGTGGTGTCTAAATAATCTTAGAAAGTACATATAACTCGGAAAAGTCACATTGGTACTTTTTTGTATGATTAGAGGAAAATGAGTAGATTAATCACCTGATGGTAAGTGATCAGAGCCCATGGATACTCGCAACACTGATAAAGGTAAAAGTGCGATGCTAGTTCTTTAAAAAAGTATTTTCTAGAAGGTTTAAAAGTTGTGTCAATTTCGTAATACTCAGACATTATCTCAGTTCATTCTACACCTATGTCAATGACAAAGTCAAAAGTCAAAGTCATTTATTTCAATTAGGCCAAGAAGGTACTTTTGGCCGTCGACAAAATATTTAAAAGTGAAGCTATTTGCAAGGTGTAGATTCTTATGGAGAAGAACGAGCAAGAAACTCCATAGGTTACTCTTTTTCAATCAAGTTCACAATACAATTCTTTAGTTACATAGTTTTGATGGTTCAAGGCAAACATTTGTATGCTCGTTTTGTTACCTATAGTGTTATTTTTTTTGCTATAGGTTTATTGTAGTCTGATTGGTGATTTATTCGTCCGCGAGTCACTTATGGGGCCAGTGGAATAGCAGCGCGAGGCCCTGTCTTGCACATGCTGAACTGGTACCATTTCACCGCAGACTTGGGACATTAGTAGATATTTGTAAACTTATGTGTAAAATCTGCATGTAACATCTTTATGTATGTGTCACCTGTTTTAGCGTGCGAAATAAAATTTTTGTTCCTTTTCTTTCTTTTTTCTTTAATAGGGGTCAGGCTGTTCTCAAATATCTACTAAGCATCCATCCATATCCATCCATATAATTCCTTTTATTGTTACCTACTGACTGCCTCTTTGGCCAAGTGGTCGTAAGTAGGACTGCCGGGCAAGGGGTCTCGGGTTCGATTCCCAGGTCGAACAATAAATTACTGGGTTTTAAAAAAAATCCTAGTTGTAGTACGGAGTCTGGAAATGTGCCCGGTATATAGCAATAGGCTCATCTCCTGTTACATGGGACCTATAACATAAATAGTAAAAAGTGTTACATTTTACAATACATTAAGTGCCGTAATGTGCAGTTCTGCCTACCCCTTCGAGGATAAAAGGCGTGACGTTATGTTATTATTAGGTACCTAATTTTTGTCTTACACTTCTTTTATGGAATCATAAAATATTGTGTTCATAGTTGAACTTCTGAATACTTGAACCTATTGTCAGCAGAGGTCTCTATATACCCATTTAAAGAATATTTATGCCCTATTTCACCTTCGACACGGAAAAATTGAAGAAATTGAGGTGGTTGTAAGAGGTACAATGTCAGTAACGAAAGCCTTCGAAACTTCCCTCTTGATCATTCCACCATTACTAGCCATGCTTGATTTTCTTGTATCTAAAAGCTGCCAAACAATCCTTCTATCACTTTGCAAGTGTTATTCTGTGACGAAAATCGAATGGAATTTGAGGTCATTCGACTAAAACATTCGAACAAATAAAAAATTACAACAATTTCCAAAAATCATTAGAACAACCGTGTGAGGTCAAGTCACAAAATCCCATAAACAGAAAAAAACGTTACCTAAAATACTCTATTGAAGTTTCATCCAAGAAAATCCTTTTAACGACAGAAATCTCCAATCAGGTAACCGGGTAAGGCCATGACGAGCTCAATACCTTCTACTCTTTTGAGGTCAAAGACGTCTTAAGCCCACAAAAGCACAATTCGACGTTAAGTTACATAAATGTAAATGGCAATTGTTGCTTACGTTTTACGTTGCTCCCAACAAGCCACCGGTGGGCCCCAGTCCCAACTTGTTGCCCTCACCATGAATTTTAATCAACCCTAAATTAGGACCGGTATTTTAAAAATAATTTTCACTAATTTAATTCAAAGTTTCTGTCAAAAACCACCCTTGTTATTTAAGAAAGATTAATTAAATAATTGTTTAGTAAAACTTACCGTTAATTTCATGGTCCGAAATAAATATCACTAAATGTCACCTCACTACTATAAAAAATAAACCGGGACAATAAAATAATTTAGATTTTTACTAAAACAAAGGTCACAATCACACACGGAACCTCCACTCTCACACAAACCGAATAAAAAAGAAATAAATTCCAAATTCAAATGTGACAGCTCTGAAACGCGGCAGACACATTTTTTGACAGTTCGATTACTTTTTTAATTATTACGATGGCACTGATCGAATTTTCATCCGGAGTCCGGGAATTTTCGTCCGCACACGACGTTCGCCCGGGAGATCTCGCCGGTTCCAGAGGCTGACTCTGGCTCGCTGGCCGATCGAAGCTACGTATACTGCGCCTCCCCTCTTGCGTAACTGATACGGTTGAAAATTATAACATTACCTTTACGTGTACAGTAAAATATCGTATTTTCTTTATAATATGATTGTATTTGACTTTAGAAACAAAAAGTAAAAACCTTTTTTTGATTATTTTAATATTCTAACTCCTAAAACAACTTAATTAAAATCATATTTTGTTAAAGGTTTATCTAATGTGTTTTGAAATCTACATGCATCCAATTAATCACCATTCACATAACTTAAAACAAAATTAAAAGTTCATAATAATTCGAATAGATGTCCAGCATACGAAGCTTCTACCGGCCCACATCTTTCGGGAAAACCCTCAACGCGCAGGCGTGAACTGGAAAATGTGAGCGAGATAGCAACACCGGCTTCGTATAAAGACAGAGACGACAACAGTACCGAAGTGAGTGCAATAATCCTCACAATTTGTTGTCTAGGCACGTTCGAAATTTAAAAAAGATATTTTTCATAGTGCGCGCTCTTTTCTTTTTTTACTCTTTTATTTTTTTGTTGACAAGTTGCTTCATAGTATTGAATGAATTCCATTTCTCGTGAACAGCTTAACTTTGTTGGAGAAAATGTTAATTTTAAATGGATTTTTCAATTTGCATAATTCAATTTGTTTCATCATAAATCGTTTAACGTAATGCCGCGGGTCAGGCGGCTGTGTTTCTTAATGATACAACGTAAATATTTCATCAACAGTTTACCATTATGGGGTGAAGTTTTTTTTTGTAATCATTGGAAGGTCGGAAATGTGGGAAACCATGCGATCATATTATTGTACCTTTATTTTTCATATGTAACCAAGAATATTAACTTATGAACATTTTTGAAAAAGCTATGGAGGTTTTTGCTCGTTCTTCTACATAGGAATCTACACTTTGGAACGAGCAAATAGCTTCACTAGAAGACTAACCGACGCGACAGACTGACATTTTATTAACATTTCAATATTATGTTTTGACGTTCAAAAATTATTTTATCTTTGACTTTGACCCCTTATTAAAACTATTTAACAAAAAAAAAAATTTTATTATGTACTTATTTTATCAGTTAAAGAAGTAAATACTTTCGTTTCCGGGGCTCAAAGGTACTGATGAGCTGTTCTCTTTAGCCGTGATTAAAATCACTTTAATATCAGACCCCATGTCACACCACGAGGGCTCCGGGAAATTAAAAGATTTACTTGGAATAAACAGGTAAAAAAATAGGTCAGTATCGTTTTCCTGTTTACGAAGTTTATTGGTCGCGACGACAGATTTTGTTGCGTTGAAATTAGTTAAGAACGAAAAGTTGAATTAAAATAACCGTAGAATATAATTTTGCCTTTATTAACGCTGTTATTACTAAGAATTGGGATGATGACAGGATATGAAAATTAAAAATATAATTAGTCCGTAAGTTAGGTAATGAAAAATATTAGACACGTATTTTTTTTATAATAAAACAATACTTAGATAAAACGAATCAATGTTTAGGAGTGGGGGCTAATACGTCATTTCTACGTATAAAATATACCTACATAGAAGTGACGTCACGCGACATTTCAAATCAACATAATTATCGTCGAAATTATTTGTATAAGTAAGAAAATAAAAAATACGTGTCTAATGATTTAAAATAATCTACAAGAGAGACATTAAAATAGAAATTAGGCAATTAGGGTAGATACCCTATTCTTTCTAAAACTAACTATTGCACTGTTGACGCTGTCATCCTGTCTACAACCAATATACTACCATGGCACATATAAAACATGGCTTCCCTTTACTATAAAAACTACATTCAAATACTATTCTAAACAAAATCAATTTCACACCACATTTTCTAACCAAACTTAAAACTGAACTGAATCACATTACTCAAAAGACCATAAGTAGCACTAAACCAGACTTTGGAATATACACTCTGCTTACCTAGAAAGAAGGTTGGAATTAGATTAAAGGAAGTAGTCACATACATTTTGCAGATATTTATAGGGTGTGTAGTTTTAACTGTAAGTTTATCTTTCGGTCGGTTAACGGACGTGGTTACGGTTCTTTTATGGAAGGTGAGGTAAACTTGCATGTGGACCCTAACTTTTTATTAGCGCTGGTTTATAGGGCGTTCAGGTGGTATTCACGTTGTGTACGAAAAAGCACAGATAATCAAAAAAAGAAGACAGATTCTAGAGGATAATCTGTCAAAGTTCTAAAAATATTGTTTACTAGATGACCCGGCAAACTTCGTTCCGCCTAAAATTTTTTTCTCACCTTTGAGGCCTTCCCTGCACCTCCATGAACATTTCAAGACCATTTGCCAAGTCGGTTCAGCCGTTCTCGTGTTTTAGCAAGACTAAACGAAAGGAAATTCATTTTTATTTATATAGATAAACTTTCTGCATCTCCTAAAGATTGGCTAGTAAGAATTCCCATGGCATTAAGCCCGGCTATATACTCTTGTTAAATTAAATAAAATAAGTAAACATCTACCTGACTGACAAAATGTAAAATATTCAAATCCATATCCACATTCAAACATATTGGGAAACATTAAGTAGTATCGCGGGTTACTCACGTTAATATACTGAGAAAAGCTCTTCTAGTATCGAACCACAGTTGTAAAAACATATTGAAAAAAGAAATCTTTCACTGCTTCCCACAGACATAGCTATGCTTCTTCCACAAAAAGTTCTTTCTGTAATACGGGATCTCATTAACAATATCTTAATCTTAAACACCAAAAAAGGACATTTGCAGCTACCCCATCATTTCGAACACCCACGCCCCAATCAATCAACAATTCCCCAACCCTGTACATAGAACAATAGCTTTCAGTACCCTAATAACAAAACTAAGCGGTTTCTGTTTGACTTCTGTTTCGGTACACGCATCAAGCTATACAAAACCAGTTTATCATGATCTCCGCTTTGTATAATCTCTCCGCACAATGAACGGTCAGCTTACACTGGTTTTGTATAGATTTGTATGGAACTGTGTACGTGTATCAGAAGGTTTTTCAGTCCTTCAGTCGATTTCCATTCATTCGGTGTTTGTCTTGAGGTTTAACCTTTTACTTCAGTTTTACATAACTGTTGGTTACTGATATTAGTTTAGTTTTGTTGATTTTATTGTGATTTAACTACTTTCTAGGAATATGTTCGTAAATGAAGTTTCGTGTTGGACTAAAAATAGTTTTTGGTGAAAGGACAAAGGGTTTTCTACAACCGCCAGTTTGTGTTTGAAAACCGTGTTGTTTTGTGATTATCAAGACCTTAGTATAGTCCGTAAGCCAGTTTCTACTTCATTGGGTTTCATTTCAAAAGGCTTACTGAGAGCTCCCTCATTCCCTTAAGTAGAGGATCACTTGAACAGGTTGTACTCATCTTATTGCCGTTCATTCTAAAACAAAATATATAAATAAAGTAATAAATTGGTAAGTTAATGCTTCGACACTTTTTTCTTTTTTCCCAGTCGCGTAAAGAGGTTGTCATTGCTAATTCGTAAAGTGAGCAGTAATGCGATCTCTCTGCTCTGAGAGCGCCGATGGTATTACGATACGTTTGCATTTTATTCGATTCCCATTTTATTGCGTCTCAAGGCTTTTTCTTTTAGCCATTTCAGTAGAAATTGACATTTGATGTACCTGATTTCGTTATTATTTTGTGTCAATTTCGTATTTGTGATACGAATTTTAGGTCATGTTGTTATGTATGCAAAATTCTATTCAAATGTTCATTGAACTCATCAAGGTTGTATAGCTTTTAATAAAACAATGTTTATTGTTACTACCCTTTATCTAATCGATATTTATATGTACCTATGTTTATCTCTTTGAGTACCGTCATTATAGACACAATTAAAGAACAAAAGGTTGCGGTCACCGGAGTCCTCGCGGTGTTTGACAGTTTAGAACAAAAGGACTTTTATGGAATGAAATGTACGTGATAATTACATATAATGCTTCAATTACAGCAATAACATTTAAACTGTCAAACACCAAGCGGTCACCGGTGACCGCAACCTATTGTTCTACAATTGTGTCTACAAAACCGGTACTCGACGAGTTAACTATCGCCTCCTCTGATCATTACAATAACAAACCTATTAATATACAAGCCACTTTTCACACCCTTCCATTCCCACACCATATACATAATATATTTCTTTATCACTTCTTCAAGAAACCCATGATTCTAGAAGCATCCATAATAGATAAAGCAGCCGATGTGTCCCTCAGTGCGGGTGTACGCGATCGTAAACTGCGTCCACCTTCAATTTGCCGGCGCTGGGACACGTTTCTGATACACTGTAAGTAATTGTTTCCGCGCCTTATTGTGCCATGCACGTGTCCAATGTCCCTACTACCGGTCTCTACTCGATTCAGAATAGTTTTTATATGTATTGTAGTGAATATGGTGTGTTGTGTAATTTTTCAGACAAGGTTGTAATATTCAAATCAAATCAAATCGTCTTTATTGTGGACTATAGGTATGCATCAGAAATACAGGTCTTAAATAATAAAAAAGTACAGCTATGTCCCGCCTTTGAGGCATACAATAATAATATACAAACAGATTATTAAAACTGTATTATGTTTCAATTTGAATATCATCGAAATTAGAAGCCTGTAAAGTAGTTAGTATTATCATAGAATGATTAATAATATAACTAGCAGAGATAAGAAGCACTACAAATACAGGCATCATGATTATTATGCTAACCTTACAAATTACTTTCAAGAAAACAATCCCATTTCTTTTGTCTTCCCAAAATGAATCCATCAGCACCAAAATTATCCTCAACAACAGTCCCCTAGTAGTGATACGGTAACCCCACCAATCAGGATCTAGCTCCCGTTGCCGGCGACCGGTGGCCGTCAGATAAAAGTGTGAGCACACCAGACATTCCAATAGTTACTAGTA